TTCCAGATTTTTGGCAATTATACCCTTTAGGAACATCCATCTACTTACAGGGTTTAAGAGAATTTTTTGTGTGTGTGTGTGTGTGTGTATGTAAACATAAGTTTTAATTTCTCCTGGGAAAATACATATGAGTGGAATAGCAAGGTTATATGGTAAATTACTGGGTAAGTGGATGGCAAGTGTGTTTAACTTTGTAGGAATCACTGAGTAACTATCACCTGGCATTCCTCAATACCAATATAGAGAGCTCCAGTTGCTTCATTCCTCACTGACACTTGGTATTACAGTTTTAAAATGTTAGCTATTCTAATAGGTGTGAGTTGAATGTAATAATGGTTTTAATTTGTATGTCCCTAATGACTAGTGGTGTGAAGCATCTTTTCACGTGCTTATTCAGCATCTGTTTATCTTTCTAGGTGCAGTGGTTGATAAAACCTTTTGTCTATTTTTGTTTTTTAATAATCCCCCAAGGTATATATGTTGATTTTGAGAGAGAAACATCAGTGTGAGAAACATAAATTGGTTGCTGCTCATACATGCCCTGAACCAAGGATCAAAACCGAAACCTGCGTATGTGCCATGACTGGAATCGAATCTACGATCTTTTTGGTGTACAGGACAATGCTCCAACCAACCGAGCCATCCAGCCAGGGCCATCTTTTGCCTATCTTTTAAAAACTGGGTTGCTTTGCTTTGTTGTTTTTGACAGATATTATGTTCTGGCAGTTATTTATATCCTTTGTTGGATAGATAATTTGTAAATTCTTTCTCCCAATCTGTATCTGATTTTGGGATCAAAGTAATTCTAACTTCAAAATGAGTTAACAAGTGTTCCCTTCCCTTCTATTTTATGGAAGAGGTAAGAACTGGTACAATCAGTGTTTTTCCTTCTTTGAATTTGTGAATGACACTATCTGGAGTTTTCTTTTTCTGAGGATTTTAAACTATAGATTCAATGAATTCAGAAAATAGTCACATTTTCTATTTTTTCCTTGGTGAGATTTGCTTGTGTCTTTTAAGCAATCAGTCTATTTCATCAAAATTTAAAATTTTTGTGCATCAAAAGACACTGTCAAAGAAGTGAGAAGATAATCCACAGAATGGGAGGAAATATTTGCAAATTATATATATATATATGATTTGTATCCAGAATATTTAAAGAACTTTATAACTCAATAATAAGATAAATAACCCAACTAAAAAGGGGTAAAGAACTTGAATAGACATTTCTTCAAAGAAGATACACAAATGGCCAATAAGCACATGAAAAGATGCCCAATACCATTCATTAGTAATTAGGGAAATGCAAATCAAAACTGCAATGAGATACCACTTCACCCACAAGCTGTCTATAATAAAAATAACAGACAATAATGTTAGTAAGACTTGAAGAAATTGAAACCCTCATACATTGCTGGTAGGAATGTATAATGATATAGCCAATGTGGAAAACAATTTTGAAGTCCCTCAAAATGTTAAGCATAGTTACTATTCTCAGGTATATAATCAAGTGAAAACATACATTCACTAAAAACTTGTACACCATTCATAGGAGCCTAAAAGTGAAAACAGATCACATGCCTATAAATGACAGTGGCATATCCTTTCAGTGGAATATTATTCTAGACCAGTGTTTCCCAAAGTGTGGTACGCGTACCCCCAGGGGTATGGGAAGAGTTTGGTGGGGGTACACGTTGCACCGGAGTTTGGTGGGGATATGCACTGCACTGTGCTTATCTGTGCCCAATTCTACGTTCTCATGAGTACTAGGGGTACTTAGCGTTACGAAAATTATAGAAGGGGTACACATATGTCAAAAGTTTGGGACACACTGTAAAGGAATGAAATGCTGATAATATGCTATGGCATGGTGAACCTTAAAAATATGTTCAGTAGCCTGCCCAGTGTGGCTCAGTGGTTGAGCATTGATCCAGGAACCAATAGATCACCCATTTGATTACCAGTCAAGGCACATACATGCCTGGTTCCAGGCTCAATCTCCAGTAGGGGGCATGCAGGAAGCAGCCGATCAATGTTTCTACTTCTCTCTCCCTTCCTCTAAAAAGCAATAAAAACATTTTTTAAAAATTATGATGTTTATGCAACTCTGAATACATTAGAAACTATAGAATTTTACAGATTAAGTAGGTGACTTGTATGTGATTTATATCTTATGTTACAAAATCAATTATGACATCATAATCAATTGCAGCAATGAAGACTATAGCAACTCTGTGTATTTTCTTCTTTGCTTGTTTTGTGTCTATCAACCAATTTTTCTTTCCCTCTGCTGTTTTATGTAAAAGTAATGACGAGCCTTACTATTTGTCTTTCAGTTATGGAATATTCAAGTGGAATTCTGACTGGAATGAACAGAGATGCATATGCCGACTACAGAACTTTGTTGTCCCTCTCTTTTAGAAGAGAATGATGCATCTGTGTACGAAGGATACTTGCAGCGTTAGGAGGAAGCATGAACTTGTTAGAGGTAGATGGGAATTGAATATGGTAGAAGGGTGTGTATCAGTGATGAGTAGCAAAACGGGGTGGGCCATGCTGGTTATTGTGTCTCAGCCCCAAACCCATTCCATTTTGTGTTCTGTGATGCTGGACTCCTGAAAACTACATTTTTCAGACTTCCTTGCCGGCTGGCTTCCTGTTTTAGGGGCCAGCTGAGGGAGACCCAGAAAGTGAAAGGGAAGGAACGAGCTTCTGCTCTCAATACTAGCCATCAGTAGCAGGCATTTAGCTCTACCACTGACCATTTTGGCACCTACCTTCTTGTAAGTTCCAGCACCAACTACTTAGAATCCAACCCTTCCCCAGTACACATCAAAATCTGGGCACTGGTCTCATGGAGCCTCTCCCTGCAGGTTTCTGGCCAGCTTCCAAGATGACCCCCAGTGATCCATTCTGGTCTTGGTATTAGTGACTCTGTGCGGGCCCCTCCCACGTTGAATCAGGGTTGGCCAGTGTGACCAATGGAATATGGTGACAATGAAGCTGTGTGAGTTCTGAGATAGATCATAAAAGGCAGTGGAACTTCCACCTTGTTGTCTTGGGATGTTCACCCAGAGGATGCCATGAGGACACTCAGGGAGCCCCGTGGACAAGAGCCCAAGGCCTCAGCAGCCAGAGCCAACTTTCCACCATGTGAGTAGACCCCCCAGTTCCAGCCACTTCCTCAAAGACTGAAGCTCCAGGCAGTACCTGATGGCAGCCTCAGGACAGACCCCAACCACAACCACCCAGCCAACCTTAGGAGAAACCCCGAACCGGAGCACCCCCCCACACTACTCCCAAAGCCTTTACTTAAATCTTTGTTGTTAAAAGTATTACAGATGCCCCACCACCACACCCCCTAATTGCTGCTGCCAAATTCCTAACAGAAATTGTGAGCCATGAGTGATCAGTTATTTTAAGCCACCATGTTTAAGGGGTGATTTTGTTGTACATCAGATAACTAGTCACTTCCTCTTTCCTTAAAAACGCCACCGTTTCAACAGCTGTGTGAACAGTTCCCTAGATTAAAGGCCCTATATTTGAAATAACTAGTGTGGTTTCTGTTTTTCTGATTGAGCCCTTTAAATTTTAGGAAGAAAACATGAAACGAGAGCAATACATTCCCCGGTATCTGCTCTTTCCCTTCCCAAACCCAGCCTTGGGAGTCTCACTTGTCCGGCTGGCCACCACCTCAGCCCTCTGCATCCTCCACCCTTCTCCACTCCGCTTCCATTCCTGTCTTCCCACCAGACTTCTAACCACAGAGCTCCGTTCTCATCCTGTTTCCTCAGGGCCCCCAGACAAACATTGCGACGCAGGATCTGGGGGGTTCGGGGGAACACGGTTTATTGTTCCGAGTCTGGGTTTTGTTCCTTGGACATGATTTTTCCTGGATGGAGGTGACTGTCCCACCTCCCTGAGTCGCAGTCCCGTGGGCCTGTTTAGATTATTTTCCAGGTTCAAAGTGCACTGAGAAGGCTTCACAGTTTTAATACTTCCTAGATGCTCAACTGAGGCAAAGTGATAAAATGGCCCTCCCCCCACCAGCCCATAAAATAAAACCCCAAGCCCCCAGCAGCTGCTGCTGCAGCCGTATGAAAAAATAATACAAACTCTTCTTAAAAAATAGATTACACAGAAAGAACCCAGAGGACAGAGGGGCATGGGGAGAGGCGGGGGCTGTTCCAGCTACTGGTGAGGAGCCTCGGGGAGAGGTCCGGGAGGGGCACCGAGATGAACTTGAGCGGCTGGGATGCTGGTGGACACCTGCCTGGTCCGCTCTGCCCAACCTTCCTCTGCTGCTGCTCCCAGCAGCTCTGCCAGGGACCCTCCCTTTGCCCTGAGGCCTAGTACCTGCTTCTCACTAAAGTGGCTTTAATAAACAAAAAGACCCAAAGCAAAAGGGCTGCTGCCCCACCGACGGGGTGCCCCCTACAGGAGCAGATGACTTTGCTTTGGGGGTTTGGACAGTTATCAGTACCTGCTACTACCTAGACACCCCTGGGAGGGGGTGGTGGTGATAGGCCCCAGACCCTTATGGCTCCTGGGAACACCGCTCCTTGGCACACCTCCTCCTAAGTACTCGGCCGTGACAGGGCATGGACTGAAGTTGGCCTCCAGCAAGGCCTTGGAGGAGCTGTAGACGGATGGAGCGTGTGCAGGACAGCCAGGGCGGTGGGATGTGGGATGGGGCACAATTCACATGGGCCCTCAAGCTCATGCAAGGAGAAGCAAGAGGGGGCAACCCCACCGAGACAGAGGTAAGGCAGGGTGAGGTGGTGGTGTGTGTGCAGCCAGGCCAGCTCTGCGGCTGGGTGGGGGGCAGAGACAGCGCAGGGCCTCAGCCCACAGGGTAGGAGGCAAGTCAGGGCCAGGCGATGGGGGGGAGTTTGGGTGCTCACTCCTGCTGAGCCTCCACACCTGGCTGCCTCCTGCAGAGGAATCTGGTGCAGGGTGGATTTTTGGAGTGGGGACAGGGGCTGCTGGGTGGTCTGGGCTCAGTCAGGGACCTCGGGGTGGGCAGGCAGTCCACTTTCGCCACGCCGGTAGGTCTCCCAGAAGCCCCTGTCCAGTTGCTCCAGCTGTGAGCCGAGTGGTAGGTGGCCGGCCAAGTGCATGCGGAGGGTCTCCAACCATTGCTCCAGCTTCACGAAGGAGGGCCTGGGATGACAGGTCAGGGGAGAGGGATGGTGGGTTCTGGCTCTGCTGAGGACCAGCCCACCCCAAGGCTGCCCGGGCCACGCCTGACCCCACTTACCTCTTCTCAGGGTCCAGATCACAGCAGCGCACGGTAATGGGGAAGAAGCTCGGGGGGCAGTTTGGGGGGCAGTAGCGGTCCAGGAAGCCTCGCACATTGAGGCCAAAGTCCATGGTGCGGGGCAGGTAGTCGGGGTCAGCATTCACCCGCCCGATGATCTGTCCAGCACAGGGCCAGCAACTGGTTACCCAGGGGCCCTTGGGGCTGGGTACCACCCCGCAGGCATTTAAGGGGCGTTTACACTGGGCCTGGATGCAAATTGCTGTGGGTAGCCCAGGTCCCAGAAGCCTCCCTAGCCTGCAGCCCAGGAGAGTAGAGAGCGAAGAGGAGCCACAGGGCCTGATGCCAACGACTGCCCGCCCCTGCACCTACCTCGCAGAGGACGATCCCAAAGGAAAACACATCCACCTTCTCATCATAGCTTCGGCCTAGACAAAGAAACTGGCTATTAGCAAATGAGGCAGGACCAGGGTCAACTGGCAGGGCTGCTGGGCCAGGGACTGGCAAACCACATGGGTGCCCTGGCCAGCAGGTCAGGACCAGAAGGAAGATGCGCTGCCCCTGACCCCACCAGGGGTGAGAAAACTTCTGGTGGGTGAGGACAAGAGCCCTGGGTAAGGGGTACCAGGCCCAGCTTGGTCACTGACAAGGCATGGACTTCATTGTGGTCATGAAAGAAACCATGTCAAACCCCTGGAACCTGTGAATGTTACTTTGTTGAAAACAGGGTCTCTTTGCAGGTATCATTAAGGTTCTTGAGATGAGAAAATCCAAGATTATCCAAGATAAGCCCTAAATGCCATCCCAGTGTCCTTATAAGAGAGACAGAAGAGAAGACACCCAGAAGAGAGGGCGGTGGCCATGGGAAGATGGGAGCAGAGATTGGGTGATGCGGCCTAAAGCCTGGGAATGCCAAGACGGCTGCCTGAAGCAGCAAGGAACGAACCCTCCCCTACGGTCTCTGCAGGGAGCACAGCTCCACTGGTTCCAGACTTCCAGCTTCCGGAACCTTATATACGAGAATAAACTTCTTCCGTTTTAAGTCACCCAGTTTGTGGTAATTTGTGACAGCACCTTCAGAACCCTCGAAGCCTCAGTTTCTTCGTCTGTACAATGGAAGGAATACCATCTACACCTCATGGTGCTAAAAACAATCAATAGAGACACTCATTTCCTGAACCGCTACCTAGTTTATAGCCTTATCTAATCCTCACATCACCCCTTAAAGATAGGGACTGTTAGCCTACTTGACAGGTGAAGTTATTTTATGGGGGGAGAGAAGGACTATGTTAACTTCGGTCAGAGCTGGCGCTGAGACCACCCCTAGTCCGCCTGTCCTGACCCTGTGTGTGCATGCCACCTGCCTGGGGAGGGGCTTTGTAACCCACGGTCTAGGCACACCCAGGGCCACAGTGTGACAGGCCTGACTGAAAAAGAAAGGGGGTGGGGAGGGCCTCTCCTAGGCGGAGTAACGGCCCCCTGAGCCCTGGGACTTGTGAATTCACTGCCTTATACAGGTGATTAAATTAAGGATCTTGAGGTGGGGGTGGGGGGTGGGGCAGAGAGATGGGAGGGGACAGGTCTTGGATTACGGGGATGAACTCTATGTAGTCGCAAAGGTCCCTATGAGAGCGAGGGGAGTCAGAGTCAGGGAAAGAAATGTGATTCTGGACACAGATGTCAGAAGCCGCCAGGTTACTGGCCCGGATGGAAGAAGGGGCCACCACCTGAGGAATGAGTGGCCTCTAGGAGCTGGGAAGAGGAAGGAGAGATTCTCCCCTAGAGCCTTCAAGGAACCAGTCCTACTGACACTAACTTAAGCCCATGAGACTTAAGTTATTGAACTCCTGACTTCCAGAACTACACAAAAATGTGTGTTTTTAAGCTAAGTGTGTGGTAATTTGTTACACCAGCCATGGGAAAAGGACCCAAAGAGGAAGCGGGGGGGCTGAGGGGACCAGGGCTTGGGTGGCCGCAGCTCACCATTGACAGGTGGGGCCGCCCACTCACCATTGATCATCTCGGGCGCCATCCAGTAGGGGTTGCCTACCACTGTGTAACGCTTCCTCCGGTCTGGCTTCTTGAGGCTTCGCAGGTCTTCAGGCTGAGTCTTTTCATCCACCATGAGCCGCGCCAACCCAAAGTCCGCCACCACCACGCTCTTGTTCTGGGTGACAAGGAAGCAGGGCCACCCTGAGCATGTTCCCACCACCACCAGCCACCTGCTCCTAGCCCGGACCCCACACCAATGCACAGACAGCCAGAGAACATAGCTCTGACACCTGGGGGCTGCTGGTGGGGGTGTAACCCCATTGTTCAGAGGGTCTCGTGTGCAGGGCTAGGGCTGAGACCACCTTCCTTTCCCAAACCCCTCTGCTCTTTGCAAATGGAGCTGCCCAAAGCTTCAGGAAATACCAGTGTGGCCCCACTCCCCTACTTATTATTTCTCTCTTAATTCTCCAACTATCTGGTACATGTTACCTTGCAGATGAGGTGACTGAGGCTGAGAGGAGTTAAGAAAATTGCTGAAGGCCACCCAGCTGGTCAATGATAGGACTGGACTCTCACCCAGGGCTCCAGAGCCCCTGGCTCTACTGTTTTAGGTTTGTAGGAGCCCCTCCCAGTGCCCAGCCTGGACCCTTGGCAGAGCTGAGATGCTGACTGCTATGTTCACCCAAGATGGTAAAATCAGGGGTGGGGTCTCCTGAGCGATGAGGGACAGGCAGGGAACCCTAGGGCACGTGCCAAGTCGGGGCTGGGGAGATCCTCCGAGTGCCCCAAGGCCCAGCCTCTTAGGCCTGGTGTCTGGGGCCCTGGGATTCTGGAACCTATTGGCCAGGTCCAGGATTGGCCACTGCTGGGTGGACACCGAGGAATGGGAACGGCGAGGCTGAGGTGAGTTAGAGCCAGGCTTCCTCTGAAGGGAAGGACTCCGTGCTGCCTTTGGGGGCAGCATGAATGTAACAGTCACCTAGAGAAAACTCTACAGAGATGGCATATGGGCGAGGGGATGAAATGCATCTGGGCCCACCCAATGAGGCCTCAGGGGACATAGTCCCTCTCAGGGCTCCATCTCTTCAGGTGTAATGCCAGGTGAGAAGTTAGTGGAAGTGTCTGGACCTGGGTCCCTCAGACTCCTGGGCAGTGGTTCTTGAAAGCCAGGGTCCATTAGGATTGTTCAAGTGCTGGTTCCTGCCCCATCCCTTTCAGAAGGCCTGGTGGGGGGCTCAGGACTGTGCACTTTCCTAAGTCTCACAGGATCAATGGTGCAGGGTTCTGCAGATCCTGCTATGGGAACAGCTCTAGGGAAACCAGTGAGGGCCATCACCGATTCTCAGAGGCCCCACATTGTAGACAAAAGGTTTGGTTGTGCATAGATGGGTTCTGGGGACAGGAGCCTTACAACTCTCAGCAGATTCTCAAAGGATGGGCTGTGCTGTGGGCCTGAGGCTATGACAGGTCACCCTGTTCTCACTGCGCCCAGCACACCTGCTGGACCTAGCAGTGATACCCATTGCCAGCAGGGGCAGCCTAAGCCGGCTCCCTGAAAGGTCCATGTAGGACCTCACCAACCTCTCTGTGCTCACTGCCCACTGTTTCCCACGGCCTAGAAAGCCCCTGTGTTGCCTGAACGTTCCCTGGAGTGGAGACCTCCACTTGACAGTGAGCAACTCATGGCTTTCTGGATGTCATACTGCTGGCACTTTGTATGTCCCACTGCCACCATCAGACACTTCCTGTACTGAATTCACTGGACAGACACCTGTCTGTAGTGTGATGAATCATGTCCCCAGCAAATCCATGTCCACCCGAAACCTCAATGTGAACTAACATGGAAACAGGGTCTTTGCAGACATGCGGTTACATGGGATTAGGGTGGGCCCTAACTCCAATGACAGGTGTCTTATAAGAAGACATAGATAACAGAGGGAAGAAGGCCACGTGAAGATGGAGGCAGAGACTGGAGTGATATAGCTACAAGCCAAGGAACGCCAAGGAGTGCCAGCAGCCACCAGAAGCTAGGAGAGGGGAGGGGCCAGGTTTTCCTTTAGAACTAACCAGGCCAACACCTTGATTTTGGACTTCTGTCTTCCTGAACCCTGAGGACACATTGCTGTTGCTTTAAGCCATCCGGTCTTATGTTATGGCAGCCCCAGGAGGCCCCTCCAGTTGGGTGGTCAGTGACTATCTCTGTTTTCTGCAGACAGCCTAATCACTACCCCACTTAAGCCTCTTTCAGGAAGCCTGCCCTGACGACCCAGCCCACATGCCAGACCCCACTCTAGACCCACAGCCGGGAGAGCTGCCTGGGGTAGGCCTGGCCACTCTGCTGTAGGCTGTTCTCTACAAATGCCACATGCCTGGGCCTTAACGGTTTACACATCCATTTTTCCTTCATTGACTTGTCAGACCCTCCTACAACCTGCAATGTCAGTGGCTCAGAGTGCTGGAGCCAGCCACCCTGTAGGTAAATGGCACAGTCAGGTCTGTTTGCCTCCTCGCCTTGAGCTGCTCCCCTCTACCACCTGCCCCCCGCCCCCGGGCTAAACTGGAGTAGCTACACCTACCCAGGGACCCCTGTTCAGAAAGGGCCTTGAGGCCGAGTGTGGTGGGCAGGGCTCCTGCTGTCCCCTCCCTCCCAGGCCCAGGCTGCTCACCTCACGGACCAGGCAGTTGTGGGAGTTGAGGTCCCGGTGGATGATGTTCATGGAGTGGAGGTAGGCCTGGGGGAGGAGGACACAAAGGTCAGGAGGTGGCTATGCTGAAGGACCCCAGCCCTGGCCCCGGAGGCCCCCACTTCCCATCCTGCCCCCATCAGGCCGGTTGGGGGTGTTCTCCCCACTCTCTAAGCTTCTTCTTAGCTTTCATGTCTAAATTCCTTGTGGAATTTCAGATTAGCAGAGAGAATGTTTTTATAAGTGGGGTTGGATCACCAGCCCACACCCCCTAAGTCAGAACCAAAGCTTACTCACCATCCCAGAAGCAATGTCCTTGGCAAAGCTCACCCTCTGACTCCATGGATACTGGCTGTCCTGGGGGCGGAGAGACAATGGCCAGGAAGGACCCAAACAGGGCCACAGTGGTGGGCAAAGGGGTGAGAGAGAGGCAGGGGGCAAGTGCCCTAGAGGGTCTGATGACCCCACTCTCATCTGCACCCACACTGTTCCTTCTAATGGGTGTGGGTGTATAATTCAAAACAACGTTCTAGCAGAACTGATTTCGAACACTAACGTGGGGGTGGAGAGGAGAGAGATATTTCTCTGTAGTTACTGATGCGCCACCTCTGAGAAAAAAAAAAAAGCTCTTTTATCTTCTACAAAATCCCATCCTTCCTAGTTTTTAAAAAATCGGAACTGACTTTCATGGACCATCATAGATGGGCCTGGTGAAGTCACCTGCCACGGGCCAGCCATATCGCTCAGGAGAGCAGGGCTCTGGACTGTCATTTGGGGAAATAACTTCTTCTCTCACCTCATCCCCTGGAGACCTCCAGAGGGAAGGTGAGGACACCAGAGCACATTAAAGACTCAGAGCGCAGTTAGGAAGCCTAAGCGGTGCTTGACCACAGAATCCCCTCGGAGAAGTCGTATCTGTAGGAGCCCACAAAGTGACACTCCGGCAACACCAGGTAATTTGGCCGAGGGGGGAGGAACCAGCGGCGGGTGCGGGAGGGGACAGAACTCAGGGTCTCAGGGTGACGCTGACAGCCCTCACCCTGGGCCCCAGGGGCACTGCCCGCAGCACAAAAGCGATGGAAGTACCCCTCCAAGCACTCTGCTTCTAAGGTGGCTTTGCAATTCTTCCCCAGCCCTTAGTTCTGAATTTTATGCAACAGGACAAACAGTACAAATGATTTGCTTCACCAGAAGCAAAACAAAGGTCTGCATGAAGAGGTCACGGGAGGGGCCTCTCAGGTGTCTGACCTGCGGCAGGTAGGCTGGGGCCGGCCTGCAGCCTTGCAGGACGACCAGTTCAAAACAGCCTGTGTCCCCTCAGCACAGCTGCCACCCTGAGCCTCAGCTTTCCCCGCTTCAGACGGAGTCAGAGCAACCCCACTGGATTCCCAGTCAGGGTTTGGAGGGTCTTTTGAGACCAGAGGCCCACCCCACCAAAGAGGGACCCCCACTGAAGAGGGGTCAGGCCCAGAGGGGAGGTGCCTGGCGCGGGGCAGCCCAGCACTCACCATGCTCTTGATGATGCCCCGGAGCGTGCCGCCCTTGATGTACTCGGTGATGAAGTTGAGCCTCTTGTCCTTGTAGAGCACCCCGATGAACTTGAGCACGTTGGGATGCTCCAGGCATCGCATGACCTTCACCTGGCGGGGAACAAACAGGCTGTGCACACATCTCCTTCTCCTCCACTGCCCCACCAGAGGCCACAGACAATGCCAAAGACAGGGGACCCTCCCCGCCCGGGGGGCTCCTGCCACACCCACGGCCACTGTGCTCTTTGTTGGAGCTGCTCCCCCACCCCTGGGTGGCCCTGCCTTTCTTGCCCTCCTGGCAGATACTGTTTCTGCTTTTGTTGTTTGACTTGAGTGTCATCCTCGGGGACCCTCTGCCACCCCTCCCAATGGGGGAAAAGGGTAGGGCCACAGCAGGTGCCCGAAGTCTGGTGAGGCGAGGGTGGCAGTCCCGCTCACTGACCTCCTTGAGGAACGTCCTCTGTGTCTCCTCGTCGAACCGGATCAGCTCCTTCATCACCATCACCTCCCCTGTCTCCCGGTGTGTCACCTGCGTGGGGACACCGAGGCATGGGGCTAGACAGACAAGCTCTGCTCTAAGCCCATCTTGCCGAGGCCCCATCCCTACCCCAGGACTGTCAGGGAGATAAACAGCTTCAAGATCTTCATGGACATTTCATGTGGTGTCCTGGCCCTCGAGGGCGGTAGAACTTAATACCGTTACAGATGAGGAAACTGAGGCTCAGGGAGGATTCCTAGCAGGGCTCCAGGTCACCCAGTTGGCAGGGAAGAAGGTGACGGGGCTTGGGTCCAGGACCGCCTGACCCAGAGGCCAGCTGTCTCTGCTCTGCTGTCTCCTGGAGGCAGAATGGTGGCTTTGCCAGGGACTCCTCCCCTGGCAATGGGACCAGAGATAAGGGTTGGGGGCCAGGGCCTATCTGGACCAGGGCATGTGGGCAACCTGACCAGCACCTTTTGTATAATCCTGAATCCTCTAGACTAGTCCTAGCTGTGACACAAAGCCGGGGAAGGGCTCAGGTCTCTGCTGGGAAGAGTGGGAAGGGGAAAACAGTCCCGAGGCAGAGTGGGTTGGCACCAAGCTCAGTATGAGGCTTTCAGGGTATGGCTGGGCTACCCTCCCAGCTGCCACCTTTCAACAACCGCTACCATATAAAGTTCTGGGTCTATCTGGAGTAGGTGCCCTTCCCCTCACTAGCTCAAGGAGGCCCAGGTGGAGGAGACTGGCTAGGGAGTCTGGAAGCCCCTTCCATGTGGCTCCTTGGTGGGAGGAGGTAGGACCGATAGGCTGCACCCGCCTGCCTGCCTGCTCCCACTCTTGGCCTGTCCATGCCCGGCATGCCCTGTACCTTGATAGCCTGGCCGAAGCAGCCCTTGCCCAGCACCTCCCCGTGGATGAGGTCCGATGGCCGGAAGATGCGGTGTGGCCGGCAAACCACGCGAAGGGACTCAGAGCGCCCCAGGTCCCTGCACTGGGAGGCAGGAGAGCCCAGTGAGCTGGCTCCCGGAGATCTGTCGATGCTGTAGCTCCTCCTGAGGACACACACACAAGCACAGTGCCACCAGAGAGCAGGTGGACACCTGGCTGAGGCCCTCTGGGGGAGGCTAGGCCTCAGCCTGCCCCTTTCTTCTTGCCTGTCATGTTCCCATCTATGTCAGTCTATACATAACCATCCGTTCTGAGAGGGTCACACAGGGCAGCTCTCCTAGGTGGTCACAAGACTCTCACCCCATCCTGTTTGGCCTTCCTGTTTGAGGCCCACTATTGTTCAGGTGCCCTTGGTAGGAACGTTTGTCCTTGGGCTTCTCTGCCTGGTGGCGCTGGGTCAGACATTTGTCTCCCAGCAGTTGGGTCCTGGGGTGCAGAAGCAGACGACCTTCCCAAGAAGCCCACAGCCCTGCCACATTGGTGGTCTCAGAGGGTGGCATGAGCTCCAGACAAACACAGGTGGGGGAGAAATACATAACCTCAGCATCACTATTTCTCACGAGTAAAGGCTGTCCCCCTGCCCGTCCCCGAGTCTTTCTCAGGAGTCTTGAGCAGGCCCACAGTGAGTGCAGTGAGGACCAGGCTGCTTCTGGTTTCTTCCTCATGTCCTCCAAACCCCTGGAGGAGAATACAGGGCACCCCCAACCTGGACCACTGCAACAGCCCTCCAGCTACCTATGGTCTTGGGTGCCCTTCCACACGGGGACCAGAGTGGTCTCTGTGAAACACATCCCTTTGTTGCCACACCCTTCAGTGAGGCCCTGTGACAGGGTCCAAGGACCCCTGCCACATCTGAAGCCCTGCAATTAGCTTCTGCCTGGAACCCACCCCTCCCAAACCACACCCAGAGCTCCCATCATCCTGAGCTACTCGTGGGCTGCTCCTTGCAACCAAGGCGCTGGTACTCCCTAGAAAGCTCTATAATCCCAGCTGGGGGAGATGCTCCCACTATTTTCCTACTTCTCACTCCCCGTCCTTCTTCTCATAGTCCCTGGCACCTTTTGCTGGCCTGCTTTTCTGCAGGGCTGACTCCTCACAGACTGACTGACTGGAGGGTGGGAATCAGGTCCCATCTCCAGGCCCAGCATCAGTGAAAGTACCCAGATACAGTAAGATACAGGGCTGACTTACAGGACAGGTTTCTGCCGGGCAGAGCTGCCAGCCTCTCCACTGGGAGTGTGAGCTGGGGAGCCCAGGGGGCTGGGCTCTGGGCCCACCACATGGCCCAGCGTGTCATGGGGGTCGTGCTCAAGAGTCAGCTGGAGCAAGCGGCTGGTTTCCTGGATCAGCAGATCAATCTGGGGAGAGCAGGTGTGTGGACGGGTGAGTCCCAGGCATGAAGGCACCACCTCCTATCCTGCTTCCCAGACTCAGGACCCATACCTCATCCAGGGGCACGTTCCGAATGGGTGTGCCATTGATCTCCAGGATCCGGTCTCCAACGTGGATGGAATTCTTCACATCTGGGCTCATGCAGCCTGGGTCCACTCTGTGGGCACAGAGCAAGGGCAGTGGTCAGACCCCTGCCCGCCAGCCTATCTCCTAGAGCCCTGATCTGGTTCCAACTTGTGTGATCAGTAGATGGCAATGGTCTAGAACTCGGAGTTCTGGTTTGGTGAGAATTCTGTCATTGGTTACTGATGTCTCCGCTGTGTGAAACTGAAGAAAGGTGGCACTCCCTTAGCTCTGTGCTGCCCCACACCAGATGCTCGGGGGCTGCCATTCAACAGACCCGTCCTCCGAACTTCCTGGTTTGCTTGGAGCAGACGAACGTCATGAGTGTTCAAAGGGTCTGGATTCACTGGCTTCCTACCTGACTCCCAAACTTACCCTGCAAGGTAAGGTGAAGGCTCCCATTCTCCGGAATCAAGCAGGAAGGTGCTTGAGGCCCGCCCTGAGCCACATTGCGGAGATGGGATGACGCCCTCCATTATTGGCCAGAAGCTAGCTAATGGAATGGCCAACTTGCCAAATTTAATTGCTTCTTTTAACTCTTTGGTGTCATCTGGTTTTCCTTTTGTATTCATATTCAAAGCTTTTTCATGAATGCTCGGGTAGGTGATTAAATAGCGAGGAAACTGAAGACTTTAAGGAAAAGAGATTCATAAAAAAATTTCATTATCAAGAGCATATTCATACCTGGGGGAGCTTTTTTTTTTTATAGTGGAAAGCCAGGTAATAAATACAGAAGGGGAATCACCATTTTGTAGCCATCATGGTAATAATTAATACAGATAAGAATCACCTACGGATGGCAGCACCATTCGGTGACAGGTTCTTGGGAACAGGATATTTACAGAGTCAAATCTCATAAATGACTTATTGATTACATTACAGAGGGGGAAAAAATCCTTTACAGCAGAGAGGTTTATCAAAGCTGACATCCCCAATAAAGGGCATCATGTGACGATGCCCAGAGAAGGACACGGCAGCACTTATGTGGTATCAGGCCACAATGCATAACCTAAATCTAATAAACAGGAGACATCAGTCAAACCCAATGGAGGACATCCCACTTAACAACTGACCTGCACTTCATAAACATCATGGAGGACAATGAAAAGCTGAGGAACTGTCACAAATTAAGAGACTGAAGAGACATGAGGACTCAGGGAAATGCATGATCACGGACTAGATCCTGGATCAGGAAACTGTTACAAAGAACAGGACTGAGACACCTGGCAACATCTGAACTGGATTGCATACTGGATAAAAGTACTGTATCAATATTAAACTTCCTAAGTGGCATGATTACATATAATTACAATTGATAATTATGTAAGAGAATATCCTTATTTTTAGAAGAATGTCTGTTTTTTTGGCAGGGAGGAAGGGTCAATGATATCTGTAATTTACTCTCAAATGATTTAGCAAATGACAATATGTACATATATGTGTATACATAAACATAAATCAGAATATATGTATACACATACATAAACGTAGAGGGAGACACACACATACACCCCAAATGTGGCAAAAAATTAAAACTGACGAATCTAGGTGAAGATTGTATAAGTGTTCAATATACTTATTATTTTAGCAAATTTTCTGTAAATTTGTACATGTCAAGATAAAAAGTTGAAAAAAAAACACAAAAAACCACCACCACACACACCAATGAATACATTTCCATTAATATAAGCTTCTCATAGATAGAGCCTGAAAAATATATTCCTTTCCTTCAGTCTCCTGTTAAACTCCAGGGGGCTGGGTCGGAGATAAACTTTCCTTAAAATGCTGCTATAAACAAAACGAAAAGTAGTCAACTAAGACTTGCTTAAAACAAGTAAATCCAGTCAGCAGCCTTTGGGCGAGCTGGGAGCTTCTGAGACGGGTGGCTCTGCAGAAACTGGGAAGCAGATGTCGTCTGGAAAGAATGCCCAACCAGTAAGGGAGACGGGGGAGGGGCCACTGGCTCTCCATTTCTAAGATTCTGCCTGGTTGTCAGGGACCAGCTGGTCTGGGAGTTTCCCTATCTCTCTCACCAGTCTGTCTGCTTACTTGTGTATGTAAGGCAGCTGCTGGCCTGGCTGATGCTCAAGGTGGGGGTGGAGATGGAAAGGCAAGCCTGCCAGCATCCTCCTTCCCCAGTGCTACCTTCACTTCTTCGGCGTGGTGCCTGGTACCCAGCAGGTGTGTGAGGAAGTTCACTGAATCTGATGGAAGCTGGCACTTGGCTCTCATGTCCACATGTGGGGACATGGGAGACATTTAAAATTACTTCTCCAGGAGTCAATGAACTCCTCACAGAAATCTGACAAGGCTCCCAAGTGTCCAACTTCCTTATTGTTCAAAGACCCCAAAGCCCATAGAGGACAGGGAGCTGCTCAGCGTCACAGTGAGCTGGCTCCCTAATCTTCATTCCTCCTGGGCTGGCTCCTAATCTTCATTCCTCTTGGCATCCCAGACCTTTTCTACATCCTTTAGACTTTTCTTTAGGGAGGAACTGCTAGTACCAAATCTTGGTTTTGCCTGCCTTACCATGTCTATTTCTCTCTCATTCCTGAAGGGTATTTCAAATATAGAATTCTAGGTTGATGGTTTATGTTTTTGCTCAGTGCATTAAATATATAATTTCTCTGACTTCTGGCTTACATGTTTTCTATTGAGAAATCAGCTGTCAGTCCAACTGAACTTTTTGGAAGGTAATTTCTCTATTTTCTATGGCCACTTTGAAAGTCTTTTCTTTTGCTTTTAGGGTACTAATTTCCCTAGATGGGGTGATCCATGGGTGGATTTATTTTTATTTTGCTGTTTGGGATTTACTGGACATGAGTCTGTGGATTGGCGTCTTTTATCAGTTTTACAAAGTTCGCAGCCATTACATGTTCAAATAGTGCCTCTCTCCCATTAGTTCTCTCTTCTTCTGTGATTCCAAATAGATGATCTGATCCCCGCACTGTCCTCCATGTCTTAACCTCTCTTTCCCAGTTTTTATCTTTTTGTGTATCTGCTTCTTTCTTCTGTTTTAAACTGTACTCTATTGTTAAATGCTTGAATATTTTCGTTTTAATAATTATATATTTCATTTCTAGAGGTATATTTGGTTCCTTTACAAATTTATTACTTTACTCATTTTTCAGGCATCTCTTTTTTATGGAAACATACTGAGTGTAATTATTTTATTTTATTTATTTATTTATTTATTTTTTACAGTATCAAGAATTTACTCATTTATTCAATGTCAATCATGTTATCATCTTCTGGAACATCATCATAACAATCCATTTCCTGAATTTCCTGGTGAATTTCTTGTGACTCCATTTCTTTCAGAATCAGTGGACCAAATTTCTCATGTTTAGCCTAGGAGGGGCCTTATTTTTGGAGGATGCCTTATATTTCGTGTGTAATTATTTTATATCCTTTCTGATCATTCCCATATCAGAAGGTTTTATAGGTCTGGTTCTGCTTCCTGTTGTTTTTGCTGACTCTTGCTCACAATGCCTTGCTTTCTTATCTATTTGTTCAGTGATTTTTGACTGAGTTGCTCATCATCCTTGAGACACTTATCTAAGTAAATTCAATGAAGCCTGGAAGTGGGTTTCTTCAGAAAGGATCTGCATCTGATTCTGTAAAGGGCTTGGAAGCACCATCAGCAGGGAAGGAGCATTTTATTTTATTTTATTTTGTAGCAAATTTTTATTTATTTTTTTAAATTAAATTATTATCTGTGTACATATACCATTGCCCCCTGCTCCCATACATGCCCTCCCTCCCCAGGGGAAGGAGCATTTTAAACTTAAGGCTTTTTGAACCACCCAGACAGAGGGATTTGGTTTGCAATCCCAAGTGTATAAATTCTTAGATTCCCTCTTCCCTTCCATTCAGGCTCAAATCGGTTTTACAGTTCTCCGAGTTGGGGATGGGGCGTGGGGTGGGGGAGTGTGAGCTGATGGAAGGTGTGGTTTATTTCTCATTCATCCTTACCTTGAGAGCCCTTTGGGGTCCTAGGTTTAATAGGCAGTTTTCTTAATAGATTAGCTTCCTTAGCAAGTCAAGGCTTTGAGAGACCCAGGCATGAAAGGACTTGAAAACTGAAGCTTAAGGCCCGGCTGTTGCTGCTCAGTGGTTGAGCATCAACCCATGAACCAAGAGGTCCTGGTTCAATTCCTGATGAGGACGCATACCCAGGTTGCAGGCTCGATCCCTAGTTTGGGGTGTGCAGGAGGCAGCCAATCAATGTATCTCTCTCATCAATGTTTCTCTCTCTCTCCTTCCTCTCTAAAATCAATAACATATTAAAAAAAAAAAGAATCAAGAAAATTGAAGCTTAAGTTCACCCAATTTAGATCTGCCCTCAACGCATGGCTACCTTGAGTATTCTGTTGATATCCCTGACCCTCCTTCACTTAATCTTGACCTGGTTACTTTCCTTTCTTATTGGATCAGATGTGGATCCAAAAAGAAATTATTACTTGTTTTTTGAAATATATTTTTATTGATTTTAGAAAGGGAGAGGGAAAGAGAGATAGAAACATCAATGATGACAGCATATCATTGATTGGCTGCATCCTGCATGCCCCCCTGCACTGGGGATCAAGCCTGCAACCCAGGCATGTGCCCTTGACCAGAATCAAACCTGGGACCCTTCAGTCCTCAGGCCGATGCTCTGGCCACTGAGCCAAACCAGCTAGGGCTGTGTAGTGGTTTTTAGAGGAACTAGGCATCTGGTATGCCAGGCTGTCAGAGCTGCGCTCTTTATGGGCCTCCGTGCTGCCGTTTTCAGAGCCCCCAGTCCCAGAGTTGGCTCCCCATCTAAAGCATCATGGCTACAGCCTCACCACCTGCAGCCTCAGCGGGCCAGCCACTCACCCTTGGACGCGGACGGTGTGGGAGTGCTCCGTGCCACAACCGGGTGGGCCATGAGGTGGGTCGATGGAGACCGAGAGGCCACGTTTGCCATGAGCTGTGGCTGGGATGGAGACGAGGGTGACGGTGTGGGGCAGGTGAGAACCGGGGGAGTCGGGCAGGATCTGCTCAATGACGGGGGTCACCACAGTCTGGTAGTAGCAGTGCCCGCTGCAGGAGTCACAGGCAGTGAGAACCCAGAGTGGGGAGAAAAGAGCATCAGCAGTCACCAGCATCTCCCCACCCCAAGTCCCAGTTCTACCACCCCGACTGCTTCCCAGGGGAGGGGAGGGGCTTAGCTGCCTGAAGGGCCTGGGAGCAGAAACTGAGCATGTGCAGCCCTGCCCTCGCCCCTCAGTCAGTCTGGCATTGCCTACTCGCTTGTCGCAGTATAAGCTTACCGCAAAGAGGCCCGGGGTCAAGTCCAAGTCATTAACAGTCCATTTGGGATCAAGCCATGATGCCCTTGAACCCAGTTTTATCAGCTACATAATAAAAAATTTCTCTGGGCCGAGACCGGTTTGGCTCAATGGATAGAGCGTCGGCTTAGGGACTGAAAGGTCCCGGGTTCGATTCCGGTCAAGGGCATGTACCTTGGTTGCGGGCATATCCCCAGTAGGGGGTGTGCAAGAGGCAGCTGATCAATGACTCTCTCTCATTGATGTTTCTAGCTCTCTATCTCTCTCCCTTCCTCTCTGTACAAAATCAATAAAATATATTAAAAAAAAATTTCTCTGGTCTTTGGGAAAGAGGCTCTAAAGCCTTGGAATAAGAGTGTCTTTGTTTTTCTGGAGCCCCTCAGGCCACACCCGAGTGTATGTGAACAAGGTGATTCAGGATGGGGGCTAGTCACCAAAAGACCAACCTTGTGATGAGAAGGTTGGTGCTTTGATCCAGTTCAACCTCCGAGAAGGGAAGGGGGTCTCTGGAAACTGTACAATAATTCTATCATTTCTGCCCACATAACGGAACCTCAATAAGAACTCTGCCGAACCAGTTTGGCTCAATGGATAGAGCGTCGGCTTGGGGACTGAAGGGTCCCGGGTTCGATTCCGGTCAAGGGCATGTACCTTGGTTGCGGGCATATCCCCAATAGGGGGTGTGCAAGAGGCAGCTGATTGATGACTCTCTCTCATCGATGTTTCTAACTATCTCTCTCCCTTCCTCTCTGTACAAAATCAATAAAATATATTAAAAAAAAACAAAACTCTGATGATGCTGCATTGGGGTTTGGGGGTACAAGTCCTGCTCCCACTGGGGGGAATGCACAGAACCTTTGCTTTCTGGACCCCTCTTGGACCTTCCGCTTTGTGTTACTTCATCTGGCTGGTTCTGATTAGTATACTTTATAAAAAAACAAAACTGAGTCCTAATTATAGAACTATCCTGAGTTCTGTGAGTCATTTAGTGAATTATCAAACCTGAGGGGGTTGTGGGAGTTCCTGATCTGTCACCAGCTGGTCTGAAGTGGGAGTGGCCTAGGGACCCCTCAACTTGTCTGAAGTGAGGGTGGTCTTGCTGCGTGCGGACTGGGCCCTACACTCGGAGGGTCAGTAGTGGGTGCCAGTAATACAACCATTAAGAAATCTGAGGCTTTCTCAGTGTGACTCCCATGTCATAGTACCCAGTCACTCCTACGAAGCACTTTTGTTAATGATTGCCCCAGATGGGTAGGGAAAGGGCCCTGGTATGGGAGACCCGTGCTGTAGGTGGGCACGGCAGACTGGGCCAGGGGCCAGGGCACACTCACCAGTACAGCTTGGAGTGTTCCACCAGTGTGTAGGTGTCCCCGTCACCGATGAAGGTCCCACACGTGAGGCAGATGAAGCACTCTGGGTGGTACTTCAGCTCCCCCGCCACCTGGAAGGGGGGGTGCGGGGACAACCCAACTTAGTAGCCCCTTCAGCTCCCATATCTCCTCCCCTTGACCTTCTCTGAGAAGGGCAACCCCAGACAAACCTTTAGGGTCTGTCTGGCCAGCTGCTGAGCTCCTGGACAGAGCTGGCTCTACTGGTAAAGGTAGGGGGCTGAGGGATACAGACAGACAGACAGACTAAGAAGGCATGGGGGAATTAGAGAACCAGTGAAAAGAAGAACGAGAGCAATGATGGGAGAGAGGTCTCTGTGAGAACACGGACGGACGCACACATACAGACCAGGTGAGACATGCGAGTGGGGTGGGGTACTCACCATGACCAGCCCCTTGGTGATGTGTTCCGAGCATCCGTGGCAAGATTCGCCATAGCGGGCCCAATAGTCTTTCTTGCAGAAGAGCTGCCCATCCTTCTCATAGTACTGGTGTGAGAGGGGAGCACTGCATTCACAACACCTGGACGGAGAGGAGCCCGGGCTTAGCAAGGCCCACTCCCAGCCCTCTCCCACAGCTGGGTCTGGCCAGCTGGTAGGCACCTTTGTGAGAATTACAAAAAGGTGTGCCCTCTGGGCAGAGACAGCCTGCCCTGGAGCACAGGGCTGGCTTACCAAGCGGAGTCAGGGACGGAGTCAGCCTCGTTGGCCAGAAGTCTCTGCAGTGCGCAGCCTGCACAACCACACAGAGCAGTTCTGCACCCCAAGTATCTGGCTCATCTGAGCCCCTGTCCCTTGTCATGTAAGAAAGATGGCCCAGAGAGGGCAAGTGACTAGCTCTTGGTCACAGAGAGCATAATGGGACCAGGGAGCCCAGGACTGAGTTGGGGATCCTAACAAACCATGAGCCCACTCCTCTAGACAGCTTCCTCTCCCTCTCCTCTGCCCCCACCCAAGCAATGTGGAGGCAGCCTGAGCCAACTGACCTACATAAAAGTGACCTTTTGGAGCTGTGGAGACCTACTAAGCGAACACCGTCTCACTGTCTTAATCCTCACAGGCCACTATGAGGCAGCCATGACATCCTCATTTTAGAGAAGGCAGATGAGCTTATGGCTCAGCAGGGAAACAATTCGGAAGAGAGGGGGCAGGAAAGACTGGGTCCTGAGTGAGACTGCCCTGACCCCAGGGAAAACTCCACTCTACACAGTCAGCTTTCTATGACTGCTCCTTAACTAGGGAACTGGGGATGAGGAGGGAGAGGGCAGCAGCCAAGAGTGCTGTGGGACACTGTCCCTTTAAGGGATCCAGCCTGTTCTCCATTGTCCGGGAGCCAGAGGGAGGGGTGATTGGTGGGGAGAGGTCAGGGCAAGGAAGGCACAAAATGCCTGGATTCAGACACAGGGTGGGGAGTGAGATGCTTGCAGAATGGGGGTCTGATGCCATTTCCCTATGAAAGAGGGGAGAGGGGAGGGAGGGACTCAGGAGACCTCCCTGGGACATGAGAGGCGGCAGGCAGCGGAAGCAGCATCTGGACCGGAGCCATGACGTCATCCGCACCCCCCCTTCCTGCCCTGGGCCCCGCAGGGGGCGGGCGTCTCACTGCGGAAGGGGTAGCGGGGAGGCGGAAGGGGTGGGGGGGAGGTGCTGGAGAAGCGGGTTCTGCAAAGAGGCGGTGCAGACACTGCACCACGACCATGGGGAGGCCCCCCACGCTCTGCACTGATCCGTGATTCACTTCGCCCTGCCACGGAGCAGGCACATCACGATGTGACAGGAGTGTCACCGCAGGAGTCTCCCCCTCAGTCCCCGGCTGCCAGGACTCAGGAAGTGGGGGCTGCCTGACTTGGGGTGGGTGGGTTGGTCAGGAGCAGCTGCCTTCCTCCAGGGGAGAGAATTGCTCTCCACCCTCCCACAAACTCCCCCGCAGCAGCCCTGGAAGACCCGACCGCGCGACTGCGGCCACGCAGACATCCAAGTGTAATGGCAACCTGGTCACCACTTCCTTCCGTGAAACCTGCTCTGAGGCCTGGTTCGGGGTCCCCCACCCCCACCCCAGGCTGCACAGCCAGCCTTTGCTGGCCCACCATTAACCTGCAGGGGCTCTGAGGTCCCCGGCCAGGCACCCACAAACACTGGGCCCCAAAGAGAACCCAAGTGGTTCCCACCAGAGAGAGACCTGCTCTGTGCACTCCATCTGGAGCGGTTTCCACCCCCCAGCATTCTCAGAACTGCTCCAGGGTACCCCAGCCGGGCTCTTATCTCAGACAGGGGACAGGGGACCTCCATCTCAGAGAGGGAATCTAGCCCAGGCTCACCCAGCAGCTGTGTGGCTGGCACTCATGGCCTCGGAGGACCTTTGCTAAAGGAACGTCCTCAGGAGCCCCTAACCCTGTCCATCCTGGACCCCTCAGGTCCACATCCAGCCAGGAGCCAGGGGAGGCAGGTGGGGCAGGCAGGCCTGGCTCTTAGGGGTGCCCTACACACGCCCCTGCTCCCGCAAAGGATGCCAAGAGAGGAGTGCCAGGTACTAAGGGTACACAGAGATGGTCCAGGGTCGGACAGAGAGGAAGTCCTAGAGGACAGCTATCTGCCTGCCCTGAACAGAGTACCCCTCCCCGAGAACAGAAGACAGAGCGAGGCTCAGCCACTTGGGAGGGCATGAGAAGGCTGGGCTGAGAGGCAGTGGCAACCTCTGCAAGGACCCGTCCATCCCTCCCATGAGTACACTCTACCCGGGGCCACATCCCCAGACATCAGAGGTGGAGGGAGGGCCGCTGGAGGATCAGCCTCAAGAAGAGACTGCCAGAAAGGCCAGAAACTCCAGCAGCGGCCTGCTTCCCCTCCACAGGCGGCCAACAGTGGCCGGGAGTTTCAGTTCTCCTGCCCCACAGCCTGGACCCAGGGCGGTTTGTCCCACAGTTGCCTCTAGTCCCAGACCTTCCCAGGGATCTGCCTGAGGAATGGGACAGGTGGGGAAGGGGCTTTCCACTTACTTGGCCCCTCTAAAGAAGCGCCTTCTCCTTGGGGCAGAGGTCAGCATCCTTTGCAGCTCCCACAGCTCCAGGGGCCCTGGAGGCCGATGGGGAGCGCTCAGGCAGGGTGGGCCGACCAGCCGCTTCCCCATCCTACTCCAGGCACTCAGGATTGGAGGCCTGCGGAGGGTGGGGCCAGTGTGGCCACCAGCATGGGAGGAGAATGCAGAATGTGGGCGCCGGAGGACTTGGTCTGAGCCCGCAACAGGAAGCAGTGGAAGGGCCGTCTGCTGGCACTCTGGTGCAGGCAGGGGGGCCGTGGCAGTCCCTCTGCCCTCAGCCCTACACGCCGAGAAAGGCATCCTCCGTGCTCTCTGGCCTCCACTGAAAGGCAGTGAGGGCTTGGGGCTCTCTGGGGACAGGGACAAGCTCAAAGTAGCTGCTCCTTCCGGTGCTGCCCCCAAGAGAACAGAGGTTGCCTTTCACGGACAATCTGTCCTCCTTGCCTGAAAGGTCCCCCAAAGAGGGGAAGGCTGCCTTCTGATCCAGGCTCCGACCACAGTGCCAGCTGCTGCGTGCTCCCCTCCTCACCCAGCCTCTGGGGGGATGTTGCCAGAGCTACAGCAGCCCCACGGCTCAGGAGCGCAGGCTGCTGGGAAGGGACCTCCCAAAGGCAGCAGCTGGGCCAGAGGGAAGCCTGGACCACTCCATGAGTGGCTATAACCTTCCAGAAGGTGGGGCCCTCAAGGGGTGGGGTGCCTGGAACAGAGAAAGGGGGGGCCTGGGGTGACAATGACCCCCCCAGGATTAATGCCAGAGGGCATCCTGAGTGCCCACAGGAACTCTCCCACAGCAAGGCCTCAGTGCTCATGGCACTGAGAAGCTTCCAGAGAGAAACCAAACAGAATCAGAGCTTTGGGCATCCCCCTGAGGGCCAGAATGGCTGCCTATTAGCCATGGGGACCAGGCAAGCAGTGTCTTCTGTCTGCACTGCTTTCCAGTTGTCATGGGACGCGGACACGGCTGGCGTCACCGGTGTTAGGGGCTGCTGGGAGAACCACACCACAGGGTCAGCACACTCCTGCACGCCACGCTATGGAACCTGTGGCTCTCACTACCTACGGGCTCGCCTCCCTGTTGGAGCCTTCTCTGTGCCTGTCATGCCAGGGACAGCCGAAACATGCCTCCTTCCTACGCCCCCACTAGGGGCTTCACCCCTCTCAAAGCCAGGGTCCATGCGTTCTGTCCCACTCCTCTGCCCTGTGGCTTCCACAGCTGTACTCATGCCCTTCCCCATGTCTCCCAAGGCTCCATCTCCCCCCCGACCAAGAGGCATGGAGGCCCCTAAAGTTCTTCCCCTGATTTCTCTTGGTCCCATCTTAATTTCCCCGCCTTCCTCTGCACTGCTTTCCAGCTGTCATGGGACAGCTCTCCCCACCCCCAGCCCCGCCATCTCAGTGCCAGCCCTAAGCAGGCTGTTCTCTCTGGCCCTTTCACCTCTGACTGGCCTCAGACCCCCTCAGCCAGGTCTGGGCAGGGCACTGCCACCCTGGATAGTCCACCACACCTCTAATTCCACAGGGACAGGGCACAACTCATCACCAACCCAGCCCCTGACTCCACCAGAGCCAACAGACCACTACCCTCCCCAGCACCAGGGTAAAAACCAAACCCCTTTAAATTCAGCGCCTGCCATTCACCCGCCCCCAGCCTCAACCCAAGACCCCCCACCTCTTCACCTCTGCAATGATCTGGGATGAGACAGGCATAGGTTCAAGTCCCAGCGCTAGCTGTTGCAACTTTCAGTGAGTCACTTGGTTTTTCTGAGCCTCCATGTCTTACACATACAAGCTGGGCAAATAATGGTGCTTCATTCACACCTTATGTTGAAGGTTTAATGAGATGACATTAAAAGAGTATTCCTACGTGGTGGCTAGTATGACTAAAACTTGCCATACATTGTCCCTTCTAAATCCCCAATTCTCTCCACTCCTAGCCACTGTCTTACATCAGGCCTTAAGACCCCTGAACTACTGTTGGAACTACGGTCCATTCTCGGCCAGGTTACCATCTGCTATGGGAGGGCACTTTTCAATAGCACTTCTGCCCATGTCCCTCCCGTGCTTTCTGCTCTCTGAATCCTTCTGCTGGCTCCGTAGACCCTCAGAAGGTGCTTATCTTGGTGTTCAGGGCCCTTCACAAATCAGTCACAAGTCTGCCTCCTCGCTGCATCCCTCCACTCAATCTATGCCAACCAAAGGAGCTGTTCTAGTTCCCTCCACGGCCCACGCTGTCCCACCTCCCTGTCCCAGTGCCTGTGGTTTCTCTGCCTACAGAGACTCCCTTGCTGCCCCGAAGACCTCCTCTGAACACCTGCCGGGAGCTGGCATGGAGCCTGCCTCTCTCCGGCCTCACTAGCCAGTGGTGCGGGTGGTGGGGATTCATTTCACTCACTGGCTGCGTGACTTTGGTCAGAAGAATTAACCTCTCTGTGTCTCAATTAATGGAGACAACGCACTATCTAACTGTCCTTACAGCAGTGCCTGGCCCTTACTAAAGTGTAGAAAATGTCAGACATTACTCTTAAAAAGGAAAAAAAAAAAAAAAACTTTGTCAGAGGTTTCCACTGACTGAAATAAACTCCCGTCAGCTGGTGGTCCATACTCTGCCCCTCGCTGGGTTTCCCAACTTCACTTTCCCTCCTTTGCAATGCATTTCCACCGACTGGCTGTCCACTGACTGACCAGGCCCTGTAACCATTCCACCCTTTGCACCTGTTGGGTCCTCTGCCTGGAATTCCTTCCCATGTGGGAAACCTCCCAGCCTTTGAGACCCTGACTCTGGCTCTAACGCCAACTCTAAGAAGCCTGATCCTGCTTCTACTTATGGTCCTACTGGGTTGCCCATGTGCTCAGTCACAGTCCTGGGCCCTGTCTCCAACACATGGGAGTCAGTGTCTGGGCGATGCATCTTCACAACCAGCCTTCGGCCTGGGTTTGTCTCCCTTCCTTCCCTGGGGCATGAACACCCAGAAGGCAAGGGTGCACTGCTTTCCGCCCTCCCCCAGCCTAGGTTGCTGCACGGCTTAGTAATACTGGTGGAAAGACAGATTCTCCTCTCCTAAGAGGTCTAGAATGACAAAACAGAGAGGCCTTGAGGGGTCTCTAGTTCAAGTGCCTATTTAACAAATGGGGAAACTGAGGCCAAAGACTTGCTGGAAGTCAAAGAGACAGCACCAGGGGGAGTAGACAGCTCTCCCAGAATGCATGCCTAGCCACTTGTCTGGTAGGTCTTGCTTAGGGCACCCCACCCCTGGCCGGCCCACCTTACCTGAAGCAATCTGCGTGCCAGTCAGTGTTCAGGGCCTGGAGGTACTGGCCGTCATAGATCCTCTGGCCGCAGCTTGCACACACGGGCAACTCGCTTCCTGCAGGGGCAATAAGGGAGCCAGAAACCATGTTTAGTGGAGGCCCCCTTTGGTGCAGGCCAAGCCTGCCCTGCCGACCCCCCATGCACCTGCACAAACCCTCACGGGCTCGCGTGCACGCACTCTCACATGGCACCCAGGCTGGGCAGTCGCCGTGCCGAAGGAGAAAGAAGGCAGGTTTGAGAGTCTTGCGGAGACCTTGGTGAAATTACCAAGACTCTCTAGATCTCCATGTCCCTGTCTATAAACTGACTATAAACTGAAGAGGATCAGATGTCCACTCTCCAGCAACAGCATCCTTCAACTCAAGGTAAATGCGGAGGGAGTAAGAAAGCTGCAGGATTTAGAAATAAGGCAACGGGTGACATTCTTGTCACAACTCCTTTTCTCCCCTGCCTGCCCAGAAAAAGGAGCTCAGAGGACCCTTCAAGTTCAGGTAGGGATTAGACAGGGCTGGACTGGTGCATCCTGGGTTGAAACCCCTGGGAGGGGAAGGGCAGGAAGCCCAGAGGGGCAAGCCCCAAAGGAGCTTTGGCTATGCCCTGGCCTGACCAGAGGCTGGGACTGCAGGGCTGGGCACTCCCACACACCTGCTCCAGGGAGCCTGGCACCTCCACAAGCTAGCCACTAGGCATGCTTAGTCATCCTTGGAGCCTGGCACGGTTAGAACTGGGGTGGGCCCTGGAAGATCCCCCAAGCCTGCCCTTCCTCACTGTACGGATGGGGAGACGGAGGCCTGGAGGGGTTAAGGCTTGCTGGGTCACACAGCAGGCTCCCAGGCCCCGGCCTGTGCCTCCAGGAAGACTCAGGGACCTATGGCAGGGGCAGAAAGGGCGATGGTGAGGTGGGCCCTTGTTCCAAGAAGGCCTTCAGGGGCCTGGCGGGTAGCCAGGTGGATGTCTGCCTAGTCAGGACCAGGTGGGCCTATGGGATGGTGCAGCCGAGGAATCTCTGGGAAGGAGACCGGACCCTGCTCTGGGCTGTGGGAGTTTTGGGGGAGCCTGGTCTTCATACCCTACAGCGGTGGAGTCCAAAGTCTTGAGCCCCAGTAAGGGGAAGGGGCTGAAGAGGAGGCTGGGTTAGTCATCCTCCCCGCAAATACGGCTGGCAGGGAGCGAGGGACTGCGGATCCTCAACAAACTGCCAAGGACTCGCTGGAGGTTCATCTGGACTCTGCCCATTTGGCCCCCAACCCCTAGTATCGGGAGCGGTGGGGGCCCCGCCTGTACAGACTGGGAAACTGAGGTCCAGCAGCTAGCGCCTGGCTCAAGGTCACGGAGCCAAGCAGGCGCCAGACGGCACCTCGGACCCAGGGCTGCGGCTTCCCTGGAACCGCTTTCTTCCCAGGCAGAGTCAGGCTGGGTGAGGGTGGCCTGAGCCAGGCCCCGGGTGGGCAGGGCACGCAGCTGACGGCCGGGCTGGGGGTGAGGGGGATGTAGGGGGTCGGTGCCTGAGACCCTCACCGGGTGGTCATCGGTCGGGGGAGACAGGGGAAGGCGGGAAGAAAGGCAGGAGGGGCTCTCCCCACGGAAGGGCAGCCCGCCCGGGGCCCAAGAGGAGAACCCGGGTGGGAGCGCGCCAGGGAGGGGCCTGCGGGCTTCGGAAGGTCGAGCTCATCCCCCAAGGAGGCAGGGGCGCGGCCTCGCGACAGACCCGGCCTCCGGGGCGGCCAGGGCCCGGCCCCCTCCCGAGCCCCCGGCTCCCTCCCGAAGGCGCCCCCGCCCGGCCGGCCCCGGGGAGGGGGCGCCCGGCCCGGCCCTTGCCCCGCGCACCTTCCTCTCCCATACGTTCTTCCCTCCAGGTGCAACAAAGTAGCGTCAACCTCATGCACTCGGCGGGAGGCGGGGCCCGGCGGCGCTGGGGCTGGGGGACCCGGGCCCCGCGAGCTGGCCCGCAGCCGCCGCCGCCGCCGGCCCGGGAGGCGGGGGCGGAGGCGGGGAGAGCGGGCCCGGCGGGGTGGGCTCCGGCTCTCGGACACCGGCTCCGGCACCGGCTCCGCGCCGCGGCGGCCTGGGGATGGAGCGGGAGGCGGGCCGGGGCGGGGCCTCGGAGCTGCGGCAGGAGGCGGGGCGGGGCGGGAGGGGCGGGGCGGCGGCCCAGTTGCCCTGCGCGGCCCCGCCCCGCGCCCTCGCGGCGCCCCGCCCCCGCCAGCTGCTCCGCCCCTTCATTCATCTTTCCCCGGAGACGCCTCCCTCCCGGCGCCCAGAGGCGGAGACACGTCAACCGAGGACTGAGGCTTAGAGTTTAAGAGAAGCCCCAAGGAGGGGCCTCAGCTTCCTGACAGGAACCCCCTTCTGACCCAAGAACTGGGACTTGAGCTGGAGGAGACCTTGGGGACCGTGGTGGCCGCCTCGGGGTGGGAAGGCGATGGCCCCAGGCTCTCAGGCCCTCTCAGGCTAGGCAGGGAGCTAAGGGAGCAGGACCTGGGGGAGGGGTGACCTTCTGCCAGACCGTGACAGATGTGCTCAGGGCTGTGCTCTTTCCAGCGCTGCAGACTGGATGCTGGCGCTGCCCTACCCAGGGTTCAGTAGGAAGAGGAAGAACAGATGAGCAGGGTTTTGGCTGAGTGACGTGGCTTCCAAAGCACAGGTGCCCAGTTCAGCACCAGAAGGGTGTAGCAGCCTGCCTAAAAGTGAAGAATCCTGGGGAAGAGCGACCCTATCTCCCCCCAGGCCCACCCTCCCCCTTTACCTATTGCCCAGGAAGCTATGAGCAGAGAGGTTGAGCCATGTGCCCACGTGAATAAAGGCAGAGGTATCCAGACTCTGGCTTCAGCCATCACATTCGCTAGACTTCTCTTGCCAGGGCCCTGGCCAGTGGTCTGTAAGGCCAGCACTCAGCTCTGGTGCAAAACTATTACCTTGGGGGGTGTTCACATCTTGATTTCTAATCACAAAGAAGCTGGGCTTTAAAAATACTTAATATTTAGACGGACACTAGTGCCCCCACTGCCTTCTGGTCAGATGGTCCCAGAGCACTTACAGGAAAGTGTTCCCCCAAGGAGACATGTTGGTCCTCAGAGGCTGTACAATGTTTTTGCATTTCTATAGGGCATATCTCAGATAAGATCCTGGCAGGAAACAGGAGCACTCAGTGGGGATGACTGAGCAGAGTTTAATAAAGGAGGTGCCACAATGAATCGGGCAGGGTTAAGGGAAACCAATGAGATAGGCACACTCTCATGGGGTGGCAGTAGTCTCTGCCGCAGGGAGGAGGGGCTTAGGAGAGAGCCACAGTGCAGGGTGAAGGCAGTGCTCAGAGTGGACCTGGAGGGGCCACGGGCCTGTCCTCGCTTAGCTGAGTGATATTACCTAGTCTTAACAAAACTAAAACCCACACAGAATGGACTTGTGTCTGCCAAAGATTGCTGAAAAGAAAGCGGAGACAGACAACAATGCTAATACTGCAAGAAGACTGACAAAATAGAGCTGGCATTTCCATCCTAGTTGGAGCCCCTTGTCAGAAACATTTCCTGGTGAAACCAGTAACCGGCTCATCAGATCTGACACATTCAGTCACATTGCTCAGACAATGCATTGCCTCTTCAAAACTGAAAGCAAAAAGGAATTTTGTACTTTTAACAAAGAAAACAATTCAAAAATTGTTTATCTCTTTAGAGCATTCCTCTTAAACGCTTTTTGCATTGCTATATGAACATATTTTATTATTTGTATATAGTCAAGTGTGTATATAATTTATAAGTGAATATGTGTACATGTGTGTGATAGGGCACAGATCTTAATTTGGGTGCAAATTAAGAACTCTGGCTTCAATGTGTTAAGTTTTAGGTACCCATTTGCAATCAGGTGGCAAATATATATACTGGTATTTGCTAAAAAAAAAAAAGAAAGAAAGAAAGAAAGAAATCTTTTATTGATGGGATTCACGATAAAAATTTTCTAGACAAGGGGCTAAAAGTCCTGTGGGGAAGATTGTATTACTCCAGATTAGTGATTAGGATTTGTGTAAACTAGTGCCCGGCTGAACACAAACTGGTGATAAGTGAGAAGCCCCGTGAGGACACTGTCACAGGTTGAGCCCAAGACAGTTACCCAGGCCAGAATCCAGAGCCTGAGTGGTCCTAGCCCCGGGAAGAAAAGAGAGCTGGCATCATGGGGTCCATGCTGTCCGACTCAGTCTGCCTCCTCCTCACCCAGACGCATGGCTCAGTGACTCCCTTTTAAATTCCTCCTTGAGCTGAAACCAGTTTGGCTCAGTGGATAGATCATCGGCCTGTGGACTGAAAGGTCCCGGGTTCAATTCCGGTCAAGGGCATGTACCTTGGTTGCGGGCACATCCCCAGTAGGGATGGTGCAGGAGGCAGCTGATCAATGATTCCCTCTCATTGATGTTTCTAGCTCTCTATCCCTCTCTCTTCCTCTCTGTAAAAAATCACTAAAATATATTTAAAAATAAAAAATAAAAAAATAAATTTCTCCTTGAACTGCAGACACAAGGACCCACACGTCTATGTGGCATCTTCACTTGGGTGGCACCTGGGCCTATCAAACTGGATGCATCCAGGCCAGAGTTCTTAATTTGTGTCTGGGCCTGCTCCTCCCCAGATGTTTCTTATCTCAGTGAATGCCACCACCGTCATCCAGAGTGGTGCAGGCCAAAACTTGCAGGTGCCCTTGACTTGACTCATGCTCTCTTCCTACTCCTTGCGTCTGACCCATCAGCAAATCTTATTGGCTCTCGGTACAAAATATCGTATATCCAGAAGTCTACCAGTGCTCCCCATCTCTCTACTCTAGCTGGACTTCTGTAACAGTCCCAAGTCTTTCCCCCCTGTTATGCTTCAGAGCCTCTGAACAAATGAATGAAAACCTGACATTTCCTTGCTTTTAAATACAAAGCTCTTGAACCCTTATGGGATGTAGCACCTGGCTACTTCTTTGTCCTTATTATTGTTGTTATTATTATTTTTATTCTTCCTCATTTTTGTTAACCAAGGTGCACCCTCTCTGCTGTTCTGACTTCCTAGGTATGTACTTATCACAGGAGTTTTGACCTGAGGTCAGGTGACCTCAACCGTTCCAAGTATCTTAACATTCTTTGTCATTCTTTGTCTCCTTCCCTGGTTTTTAATCTTCATAGCATGGGTTCACTTGACATTGAAGTTAATAATTTATTCAATGTATTAGTTTCCTGTGGCTGCCACAAGAAATCACCACAAACTTGGAAACTTAAATCAACAGAAATTAACTTTCTCACGTTTTTGGAGGCCAGAAATCTCAAATCAGTTTTCCTGGACCAAAGTCAAGGGCCACAATCCTTCCAGGGGCTCTGGCAGAAAATCAGTTCTTTTTCTCTTCTAGCTTCTACTTTTTTTTTTTTTTTAAATTGTGATAAAGATCACATAATATAAATGTACTATTTTAACAATTTTTAAGTGTACATTTCAACAGTGTTAAGTACTGTATATTCACTCTGTTGTGAAAGAAATCTCCAAAACCTTTTCATCTTGCCAATCTAAACTTAACACACATTAAGCAAAAACTCCCTTCTCTTCTCCCCGTCTAGCCCATGGTAACTACCTGTTTCTATGAATTTGGCTGTTTTAGATACCACATATCAATGGAATCATACAATATTTGTCTCGTGACTTATTTCACTTACCGTGTTTCCCGAAAATAAGACATCCTCCGAAAATAAGACCTACTTACAGGTTTCCTTCTGAGTGAAATATAAGGCATCCCCCGAAAATAAGGCCCCCCTAGGAGTCACAAGAAATTCACCAGGAAATTCAGGAATTGGATTGTTATGATGATGTTCCAGAAGATGATGACATGATTATCATCGAATAAATGAGTAAATTCTTGATACTGTAGGATTCACAGTTTGTCTGGTTTGTGTTGACAACTACTGTACTACCGTACCATATACAGGTAATAAAATTCCTTTATTTTCATTTAACAATAAATGTATACCATATTCTTCTTCATGGGAAAATAAGACATCCCCTGAAAATAAGACCTAGCTCATCTTTGGGAGCAAAAATTAATATAAGACACTGTCTTATTTTCTGGGAAACAGGGTAGTATAATATCCTCTAGGTTCATCCAGATTTTGGCATGCAACATTTCCTTTCCTTTTAAGGCTGAATAATATTTTGTTTTTGTTTATTCATTTTGTTTTTGTTTATTCATTAAGGTTGCTTCCACTTCTTGGCTATTGTGAATAATGCTGTTATGAACATGGACATACAAATATTTCTTAGAGATCTTGCTTTCAATTCTTTTTAAAAAAATATATATTTTTATTGATTTCAGAGAGGAAGGGAGAGGAAAAGAGAGATAGAAAATGAGGTCTGTGCTTTGGGGAATCAATGAGGAAGAATCATTGATCGGCTGCCTCTTGCACACCCCCTACTGGGATTTATATGCTGGCATCAAACCTGGGACCCTTCAGTCTGCAAGCCAAACGCTCAATCCACTGAGCCAAACCAGTGAGGGCTTGCTTTCAATTCTTTTGGGTATTCACCTAGACGTAGGAATGCTGGATCATATGATAGTTCTATTTTTAATTTTTTGAGGAATCTCCACACCATTGAGCCAAACCAGCTAGGGCTTGCTTTCAATTCTTTTGGGTATATACCTAGAGGTAGGAATGCTGGATCATATGATAGTTCTATTTTTAATTTTTTGAGGAATCTCCACACCATTTTTCCATAGTGGCTTCACCATTTTACATTCTTACTGACAGTGCACAAGAGTTCCAACTTCTCTACATCCCCGTCAACAATTATCTTTTGCTTTTTTGATAGTAGCCATCCTAATTGATGTGAAGTGATATTTCATTGTGGGTATTTTTTTGAGAGACTG